CCGCGCTAGAACATGAGCTAAATGATTCATTGACCTGTTGACATATTTATAATACTGGTTAAGAGTACTACTATACACCCAAAAAGGCAAATATAAAAATTATTATAAAAAAAAACTAAAAAATGAAGAAGAGAAAATTAAAGAGAGAATTGCACTTTTCGCCCCTAACTTATAGGGTAATTATAGAATTCGTCCATGGGTGTTGGACATGCTCACTTTTCGTCTCTAAGTTATCATTGGCGTTGCACTTTTCGTCCCTAAGTTATAAAGTAATTGTAGAATTCATGTGTTGGTCATGCTCACTTTTTGTCCCTAAGTTATTATTGGTGTTGCACTTTTCGTCCCTGAGTTATACTAAAGTTGCAAATTTCATCCCTAATCACTACTACATAAATGGTATAATACGTTACTTAATAGACGAATGTTTTTTTTTTCTTTTAATAACCGCCATGTATGTTAACTATATACGATGGTTAAATAATAAATGTATTGACATTACTATTCTTCTCGCTTTCTCTCTACCTAGGGTTTCTAGGGTTTTGATCGGTTCTCTCGACAATCTCTCCGGTAACTCCTGGCGATCACGTATGAACTAAACGGACCAAGCGCACGGAAGGCTGCAGTAGTTGGACGGAAGTCTGCTTAGTGAATTCTCTGAATGTCTGGACGCATGGCTTCGTCGACATCTAATGCTGCGGCGGTGGCAGGTATCACGGCCAGGTGGGCCGACCTCGTCTTGGAAGAGGAGGAGGCGACTTTCGTGCCCCAGGAGGAGGAGAACGACGGTGGGCAGGATGACGCGGTGGAGGAGGAGTCGTGAGGAGTGGTAGGTCGTTTCTTGACGAGGAAGCTTGTTAAGCTTGAATTTATGAGTCAGGTTATGGCATCCGTCTGGCAACCGGTAAGTGGGGTATAGGCTTCTGAAATACAACCGGGGCTGTTTCTATTCGTTTTTCATCATATAACGGATGTGCACCGGGTCCTTGATGAGGGGCCATGGTCGTTTGATAATAGTACTCTTGTGTGCAAACAAGTTCCTGATGGTATTCTGCCCGTGAATGTTAAGCTTGATACGGTTGATATGTGGGTACAAATCCATGACTTGCCTACGGGATATACATCTGAGTTGATTCAAGAGCAGATTGGAAACTACCTGGGGGTATTTGTGAAAAGGGATGATCGGTTTCAGAATGGGCCATGGAAAACGTTCTATCGAATTAGGGTTACACTGTCAGTGGATAAACCTTTGAAACGCTGAATGAAATTCGTAAAGCGTGACAAGACGACCTGTTGGGTTTATTTCAAGTATGAGCGGTTACATACATATTGTTTTTTCTGTGGGATGCTAGGGCATGCCTACAAGTTTTATCGTGGGGCGAGGGACTCGGTGGTGCCAGTGGAGGACTATACGTATGGGCCGGAGCTACGAGCGGGTGGAACCCGGGGACCGCGGCCAGTTGGCGGCAGCTGGTTGCTACCGCCGGCTACGGCAATACGTAGTACTGCTCGGGCGAGGGGTGTTACTGTGGGGTAGCAAGCGGCCGAAGGGAGGCCGGCGGGTATGGACGGTACTGACGATGAGGTTGCCGTGTCCAAGCGTCGGCGGGAAGGTCTGGGAAACGGGGGTGTGCGGCATGGGTTGGAAGGGGATGATATTGTGATGACAAATTTTTCAAAAAACTTACAGCAGGCGGGCACTGGTTCCCAGGCCCGCCCGACTCAATGAGTACTTTAAGTTGGAACTGCCGTGGCTTGGGCAATTCACGGACAGTTCGGGAAATTGTGGACATGGTGTCCCGTAAGAAGCCAGATTTTGTATTTTTAATGGAAACTATGGTTGGACAGGATCATGCAGAACGCCTCCGTATCAAGCTTGGATTCGAGGGGTTAGTTTATGTTGACAACACGGGCCATGGTGGTGGTTTAGCGTTGCTTAGGAAGAAAAACAATGCTGCTACACTTCTGAGCTACTCTAAAAACCACGTGGATGTGGAGGTACGAATGGGTAATGATAAGGTATGGCGAATGACAGGCTTTTATGGTTTCCCGGAACGACATAGAAGAAGGGAATCATGGGAACTACTGGGAACGCTAGGCGGGAGATTCTCGCTTCCTTGGGTTGTAATAGGGGATTTCAATGACCTACTATATCAGCACGAGAAAAGGGGGGGGGGGGGGGGGGGGGCACACTCGGATAGTCTCCTACGCGGTTTTGGGGAGGCAGTGGAAGGGTGTGGTTTGGCGCAGATGGCTATGCGAGGTTACCAGTTTACCTGGGAAAAGAGTAAGGGCACTAGTAATTGGATTGAGGAAAGGTTGGATAAGGTTTTGACAACGGCATCGTGGGGGGATGTTAATCATCATGCGGAGGTACAGAATATTCTAACTCGTAAATCAGATCACTCGGCTTTATTCCTCAACATCAATGCACCATGCATGCAGAGTGGAAGGGGTCCGAGGGGTTTCAGATTTGAGATGGCCTGGTTGTTGGATGAGGGGTGTAGGGAGGTGGTTGAGACGGCTTGGCAGAATAGTCGGACTGAGGGTTTGTTGAATTGTCAGCAAAATTGTGGACACAGCCTGATGCGGTGGGGTGGCGACCATTTTCACAGGTTTGGGGACCGTATTAAGGGGCTGCGAACGAGTCAGGAAGCTATTAGACACAGGCGCGATCCAGATGCGATAGCTGAATTCCAGAATCTCGAGATTCAACTGTCCCAGCTGAAAGCCCATGAGGATATTTTCTGGAGGCAACGAGCAAAGCAACACTGGTTACGTGGTGCTGATGCTAACACAAAGTTCTATCACAGGTATGTCTCTGCCCGTAAGAAAAAGAATTTTATTGCCAAATTAAAAATTGATGATGGGGACTGGGTGGAGGGGGATAATATGAACTCGGTTATTTTGAAGTATTTTGAAGGGATTTTTGCCTCAAGTAATTCTGTGTGCAGTGATCCTTTGTTTGATGATTTTCCCCACATGTTACCCTGGCCCATAATACTGCCCTGTTGCGCCCCTTTGATATTGATGAGGTTAAAACGGTTGTATTTTCGATGTTCCCTGATAAAGCCCGGGGACCGGATGGGATGAACCCCGGTTTCTATTAGCATTTTTGGGATGTAGTTGGAGTGGATGTGTCTTTGTTTATTGTTAACACTCTAAATTCGCGTGTTCTCCCGCATGGTTTAAATGATACGAATGTAGTTCTAATCCCAAAGAAAAATGTGCCTGAGACAGTAGGGGATATGCGACCGATTGCTCTGAGTAATGTGCTCTATAGAATTATGGCTAAGATGATAGCCAACAGGATGAAACCACTTATGGGAGATCTAATTTCGGAGTCCCAAAGTGCTTTTATTCCAGGCAGGTTGATTACGGATAATATTCTGGTAGCCTCAGAGGTTGGTCACTTTTTAAATAGAAAGCAATGCGGTAAAGTTGGGTGGGGAGCTTTGAAATTGGATATGGCAAAGGCGTATGACAGGATGGAATGACCGTTTTTGAAAAGAATGTTGGAGGTAATGGGTTTTGATAAAGGGTGGATTGATCTGATTATGGTATGTGTAACGACTGTGACATATAATATTGTGGTAAATGGTGTGCCTAGAAGACAAATAGTTCCAACTCGGGGTCTCAGGCAGGGTGACCCCCTATCTCCCTATTTGTTCATTCTTTGTGCAGAAGGATTATCTTTGCTGTTGCAAAAAGCTCAATTAACGGGATCAATACACGGATGTAGAGTAGCTAGAGGCCCCCCCCCCCCCTAGTGTCACATCTTTTCTTTGCAGATGATAGTCTATTGTTTTTTAAAGCAAACCTGCAGGAGGCCAGTGTAATTAAACAGTGTCTGATGAGGTATGAGAACCTGTCTGGTCAGATGGTAAATAATCATAAATCTAATATTTGTTTCAGCAGGAATACCACGGGAGAGGATAGGGATGTGGTGGCAAATTGTTTAGGGGTGGATTAGGCACCAAATTTTGGCAAATATCTTGGTCTGCCATCTTTCATTGGGAGGAATAAAAAGATAGTTTTTTCTTATGTGGAGGATAAGATCAAGTAGAGAATTGGGTCGTGGAGCAAGAAACTGTTATCTCAAGCTAGGAATGAGGTACTTTTGAAAAGTGTAACTCAATCTATGCCTACCTTTTCAATGAGTATTTTTTTGCTGCCTGAATCAGTGTGTTTATCTATTGAGAGGACAGTGAACAGATACGGGTGGGGGAAGGGGGTGGAAAGAGGAATCCATTGGAAGGCTTGGGACAAGTTGTGTGCCCCTAAAAAATATGGGGGTTTGGGTTTTAATGATCTTCGTTCCTTTAGCCTGGCTATATTAGGGAAACAGACATGGAGATTTCTTACTAATCCAACCTCTTTTGCAGCAAGGATATATAACTTACTAATCCAGCCTCTCTTGCAGCAAGGATATATAAGACTTGTTACTACCCGGCAACCTCTTTTATTGATGCTAAAATGGGAAATTGCCCGAGTTACTGTTGGCAGAGTATAATGGCTGCGCATGATATGGTTTGCTATGGGGTTCGGAGAAGGATTGGAAATGGGGAAACAACTCTGATCTGGGGGCACCCCTGGTTACCTGATGATCCAAGCCCTTTAGTACAGACAATAATGCCTGAGAAGGATTGGAAATGGGGAAACAACTCTGATCTGGGGGCACCCCTAGTTACCTGATGATCCAAGCCCTTTAGTACAGACAATAATGCCTGAGGAACTGCGTGAGGCTAGGGTGGTGGGTTTGATTGATCAGCAAAGAAACTCGTGGGATCCCCATATTCTATGTGATTTGTTTGAACCTGAGAATGTGGCTCGTATATCTAGGATCCCTATTAGCCCGGATTATGAGGACTCATGGTATTGGTATAGGGATCAAAGGAGAATGTATTCTGTTAAGAATGCATATAGACAGATTGTTGGGGATTTTGAACATAATCCTGGTGCCTTTGATAAATGGATTACATTATGGAAATTGAAGGTCCCACGAAATGGAAGACTTTTTTGTGGAGAGCTTTATGTGATATTCTCCCTACCACAAACAACCTGATTATAAAGAGAGTGGAAGTGGACCCAACATGCCCTATGTGTGATATATCTCATGAACATGTTATGCACACACTAGTCTCTTGTGACTATTCTAAATTAGTGTGGAATATTTCGGGTTTGCCTGTTACGAATATTGTTGCTACTACTTTTCCAGTATGGCTAATGGGTGCTATGGCCAACTTAACAGAGGAGCAGTTTGCCATGACGGTTGCGGCCATTTACCACTTATGGAGCGCCCGAAACGATGCCGTATGGAGAAGGGCCCTGCCACGCCCAACCGCTACATGGAGACGAACCGCTGCTGCCATGGCTGCCTACGCCAAGGCGGGAATCATGCAGCACAACAGGCTGCACCATTACCGCAAGGCCGCACACGCTGCTTCTTCGATGGAGGATACCGCCCACATTCGGGCGACGCAACTTACGGAGTTGTACTGTTACACCCGGATGGCTCTTTCAAGGCGGCAATAAATGGCAAACTCCCGGGATGCTTCTCACCCCTTATGGCAGAGGCTCTTGCATGTAAGGAAGCGTTATCATGGCTCAAGGAGCGTAACGAATTGGACGTGGATCTATTGACTGATTGTTCAGAACTCCGACACCATTTACTATCTAGTCCTACGACCATCCTATCCTATGTAGGGGTGGTGGAGGACCAATGCCAGGAAATTATAGCCCTTTTTTCATATTGCTCTTTGAATGTTATTTCTAGATAAGTTAATGTTAGTGCTCATACGTTAGCTACGTTAGCTTTTGATCAGGATCACTCTATGTACTAGGACTATGTCCCCCCTGATTGTTTGGCTCCTTTCATTAATTAAAATATGCCATTGCTTTTTGGCTTTCAAAAAAGAAATATACGACGGTTAAACAACCGCCGTGTATGTCAACTATATACGACAGTTATTTAAACAACCAACGTCTATTAAGTGACATAGTATAACACATTAACATAATATATTAGACGGCGATTATTTAAAAAACCTCCCTCTATTAAGAGACATAGTATATCATTTATGTAGTAGTGATTAGGGACGAAATTTGCAATTTTAATATAACACATGGACGAAAAGTGTAACATCAATGATAACTTAGGGATGAAAAGTGAACATGACCAACACTTAGGGACAAATCCTACAATTACCTTATAACCCAGGGATGAAAAGTGCAACGTCAATGATAACTTAGGGACGAAAAGTGAGCATGACCAACACTTAGGGACGAATTCTACAATTATCCTATAACTTAGGGACGAAAAGTGCAATTTTCCCTTAAATTAATTTGAAAAATAAATAATAAACATGACATGTAATATACAATAATTACTATTGATATGGTAATGCAAAATAATTAAGGGACTAAAATATATATATATATATATATATATATATATATATATATATATATATATATATATATATATATATATATATATATATATATATAGGGTGATTTCCCGTGCGGTTGTGCGGTTAGACGCACATTAAGCATTAACTGACCGTGACACTTCGGAAATTAATCCTTTAAATCCAAAATAATTACTTAATTAATTTCCTAATTACCCTTATAATTATTTTTATAATTTAGCCTTGAATTTAGTTAGGGGATTTAGTTTGACCCGAATCCCTTAGCCTTTTTAATGTGGTCAATGGGTTGGACCTTATGCTATAACCTTTGTACTCTAAGCCTTTACTTAAAAGAAACTCTTCTAGCCCTTATGTGGGAAGAAGAGGCCCTTAATGGTCATTTCACAATTTCTAACTTAGAACCCAAGCCACTATCTAGACACACTCACTCTAGCATTCCCATACTTGGCCAAAACTCTCTCAACATTTCAGCTTGTTCCTCAAGCCACCCTAACTCTCCCATTCTACCCAAGAGAGCTCTTCACCTTCTCACCCAAGAAAGCCAAGCAAGACTCTACCTTTCACCATCATCAAGCTTAGAAGGATAAGTATTAGGAGTATATAGTCTTATTTCATAGTTTTGCTTCTTTATTATCTAAGTCTTTCCTTTGCTTGTTAGGTTTTTGGGTTCTTTGGATGAAGATCACTTGGAAGGAGACTTGTAAGAGTAGGCTAGGGTGTTGGAAGAGGTTGGATAAACTTAGAAGGTAACCCATGTCCTACAAAACCTATTTCTCCTTGTTATTATGATTTCTTGATGTTCTTGAGTGGTGATATACATATCCTTATGTTTATACTATTGTAGAGCTTGTATCTAGGATTGTTTGATGCTATTTGTTGAGCTATTCCTTGTATTCAAGTCCATTTTGCTGTTGATGTGAGTATTGAGGTGCTTGGACTTTGATTTGTGTATTCTTGGAATTTTTTAAGTGGATTTTCCTTCTTCAGTTCGGTACCACCGGGTACCTGGCGAACACTTCACTACCCGCCAGTACCACCCGCAGGTACAAGGGGAGTAGCAGGGGTTCAGCGGGTACTTTGCCACCCGCTGGTACAGGTGGGGTTTTTGGCAAGTACTTTGCCACCCGTCCAAACCACCCACTGGTACGTTGGTTCTTGGATTTCGTTTTGTTGTTCCATTGTGCACTTGTGTGTATCTATTGATGTCTGGTAAGTCTAGAGCGATGTTTTAAGTATCATTTGGTAGGATTTAGAGTCTTGAATAGTGGTTGTAATACAATATTGTGATTCGTTGGATTCAAATGAAGTTTATGTTATTCGTATGAGTCTTTGTGACTACCTTGTTGGCTTGCATGCTAGTTACGTTGCTTATTGGTACTAGTATGTGAATTCCTTGTGATTACCATCTTGATTCTTGATTGAATTGGTACTTGAGCCTATCTATTCGGTGTAATCCTTTGATTGGAATCCTTTGATATAGTTGTGTAGCCTTTGGAGTATCTTATAAGTATCTCTTTCGTGAATTCCCTTCATTGTGATCTATCATTGTGAATTGTACATTCGTTGTACTTTATCCTTGTTGATTCTTCGATTGAGCTATTGTTTGAGCTTATCCGTTATTGTACACACTTTGTGTGGAATCTATACTTTGCTTTGTATCTCTAGATTCCTTGAGTGTTGAACTCTTGTTGTGATGATTGAGTTGTTGTGATGGACAGTGGGGGCTTGACTTTTACCGGGATTCAAGATAATGGTATTATTGAATTGGGACTAAATCCCCGCGGATATATGTTTTCTCTTTGGACCGGGTCCTCTGACCCCACGGAAACCATGAATTGGGACTTAGTGTCCCCGCGGAAATCTCTAATCGGGTCTACGATCCCGCAGAATCCATACTAGGGTCCTTTGACCCTGCGGTACATATTAGTTCTAGGCCCTCATCCTGTCCACTTGATTCGAGTCGTTTGGTGACTCCGCGGTGAATGACTTGATTTGGCTATGTCCTTTGTGGATTTGGAACCTTGTCGGTAATTGATTGATTTTATTACTTGTTGAAGAACCACCTTGTTAATGATTATGCTTACCTTACCTTATTTATTATCTCTTGATTCGTTGATTCTATTCCTTGAATTGATCCATATCGTTGATTTGTGGCATTGAGTGGTATTGTTGAGTACATTTGTTGAATAGTCGATGTATTGCTTCTATTCCTTGTGATTTGTAAAGCTAGAATTGCTAAGGCTATACTTATGTATTCCCAAGTCTCAAAATGGTTTTCATCTATGAAGTATATATTATGTATTTCAACGCGTTAGAGGTGTTACTTAGCAATTTTCGCTAACGGTTGTTATACCTTATGTTTTCAAGTGAATAGTCGATTCGAGAGCACGTAGTGGAGCCCGGTTCAGACTAGTTTATCCTTCCCTCTAGTTTAGTTGTTTTGGCCTGTGAGCCCTTATACTTTGACTTTATTGGTGGTAGTTTTGTTAACCCTGTGCACCTAGGTTTGGAGAACCTAGATGTGGCATAGCACTCTCGTACTTAATTGTTTAGCTTTCGCTTAGTTTTAATTAAATGGCTAGACTTTATACTTGTCTCTAAGTTTGAATGCCTTATTTTATGTTTATGTTTTTGGGGGTGTTACACTGACGCACTTTAAGTACACAACACAGGCACATTAAGCACACAAACAAAACATTTTCAGAACACAAACTCAAGCACATTAAGCACAAAACTCACGTATGTTAAGCACAAGCCGCTCGCACCTTAAATACAGAACTCAGACACCTTTTAAGTTTCAACAACTACTCACATTGAGCACAAAACTCACGCACCGTAAGCACAAAACTCACGCACTTGAGCACAAAACCCACTCACTTAAGTTTTTAACAACAACTCACATTAAGCACAAATATCAAGCACATTAAACACAAGACTCAGGCACATTAAGTACAAAACTCATCCACATTAACATTACACACTCACGCACATTAAGTACAAAGCTCAAGCACATTAAGCACAAGACTCACGCACATTAAGTACAAAGCACACACACATTAATCAACTGCACAACTGCACGGGAAGCACCTAACCGCACTGGAACCTTTCACTATATATATATATATATATATATATATATATATATATATATATATATATATATATATATATATATATATATATATATATATATATAAAATTATTAAAATAAAAAAAATTATTATTTTAATATGATAATCTTCACATTAGCAAGCTAACAAGTAAACATGTCATTGTTTTTACTCAATTGCATTATATTGCGTTGTTCCAATAGTTTAATTACATTTTCGTGTGTAGTCGAGATTATTTGACCCTTGTTCCAAAAAAAAAAAAAAAAAAAAGTTTCATTTCATAAAATTCGAGCCTTTTTATTGATGGCAAGGATGAGCTATATATTGGGTTAGGCAATGTATCATTTCAACGGTCATATACATACATACATGCATACATGGTCTGGTAATATTTATAGATGTACAAATTAAGATATTGTAATTATTCATTCTGACATATTAGGGTGAAAAATTGACAACATTGATGGAAAGTGACACCATGTATTTCCCTTCCCTTCCCTTTCCCTTCCCTATTGTACATTTCTTACTTAATATTTAAGAAAATCACACGCAAACCAAATGATACAGCACCATCTTAGTGATTTTTTTGATTTTTTTTTTTAACAACAATTTACCGAGGCATTTCATGGCATGGCTACAAAAGAATAAACAGATTAATCTTTCTTCTCAAGACAGTGTCTCTCTCAACATCATCCTCATCCTCTTCCGCCCTTTTGCCGCTTCTCTTCTAATGTGGAAGCCTCGTTCAACATATCCGCTGCATCTTTGTGCATGTCTAGCTTTGACAGCGCAACTGCCTGCATATAAAATGCGGTTGACCAGTCTGGGTACACACATTGCGCCTGCATTGCATCTCGAAGAGCTGCATCTGGCTGATCGCACATGATGTAACACAGGCTCCTCCGTGCATACACTGTTGGGGATACCATTGTACCCACATCTATGAACTGCATCACTCATACAAACAAACAAACCAACCTTTAGGACTGGTAAAAAATACCTACCTCTTTAGCTATAATAGATGAAAAATGGAAACCAGCTTGATTGGCATGAGTGGCCGTGCACTCTTGTCCCTTAAGAGAGGTCGGGAGTTTGAACCCCCTCTCGTAAGGAAAAACCAATTTGGCCAACACTTTGCCCCTAGCCCGGTGCGAACGGGGATTAGTCTGAGTATGGTACGGGCTTAAAGGTTCCTCCTACAATTAGGGTCTGCTCAGAACACCTTGTGGTCCACCTTGTGGTCTGACCAAAAATAGATGAAAAATGGAAATCCATGGAGAGTAAGTAAATTCATCACACTCTTCCGGGGGCAATGGGCCAATGGCCTTCACAAATGTTATTCGATTTGTATTAATTAATAAAATGAACAAACATTCAGCAACGTGAGTGGAGTGAGTGAATCATCTATACAAGAAATACTCGGATGTGAGCCACTGAGTATGAACAATGTCAATAACCAATCAGGTAATACATTGGTGGTCTTTCTTGCATTAGAAGAGATTAGGAAAATTCAAATACCTGAGAATAACAATCTATGGCAGTTTTGAATTCCTTGTCCCGGAATGCCAAGTCACCACGCTTCCTTGCCTCCAACATATCCCTCATTTGTTGAGTCCACTCTTGGAAAGATAACTACAACATTGACAATCACACAAAAAAAAAACATACAAATATACAATAAGATAAAGCATAAACACTTTTGCAATACATCTTTGGTCGGGAAAATTACCTCATTTGTTCCTTCATCATCTTTGTAGTGAGTCATTACCAGAATCTGATGAATTGCTGTGAGATCCATTCTTGAGCAGGCATCACCCATGGGAGACAGGGGGTGTTGAGGAGTTGGTGGAGCTTCCTCATGCTTTGGAATTCCCAGCATCACATGAGATGGGACCTGGCAGCATATATAGTCAAGTAAAACCTAAGAAAGCTGCGCATAACAGATTGTTCGTTCTTCATAGTTGTTAACTGATAGAGTATGTATTTGCAAGGAGATATTAAAAGGGATAAGGGTGTAAAAGAATAGGGGAATGGTGAAAGAAGAAGGCACATGCCAAAGATCAGGCACTTTTTGCATTAGACATTAAAATTGAATACTGTGAACTGAAACATGCAGCCCTCAAGAAAGAACTGTAGAATTAGATTTTCCCTATATTTTGTGGTGGTGGGTGTTGGGTGGGAGTGTAGAAGAAAGTGACAGCTAAAATTGAATATAAAGCATACCAAAATTAGAAAATAAGTGGAATGTAATTCTGTAAATGCGTACAGTATTTCAACAAAATAAAACAGATATAAAAAAGAAAATGACGCAACCAAGAAGGAAACAGGAACTTAGTAGTCAGTCCAAGTAAAGCATGTTAAAAAGAGAGTGAACTGTAAGAAAGTGCCGTATGGAGAGAGGAATTATGTGGGTTCACCTCAGGTTTACTCTGCAATGGAGCAAGGGTTGCAACAAGATCTTTAGTGTTTGGCCGCTCTCTAGGTTCATACTGCAGGCATCGTGAAGCCAGTTCAAACACCACAGTTGCCTCATCTGACTTGAAATTGCCCTCCAAATGGGAATCCATCAACAGAAGTATATTTTTCCCCCTTATCATATCAATGGCCTAATAATAAATTAGAGAAAACTTTTTATGAAGTTGAACTTGACACAGTATCCATGCATTTTTTTTTTTAAATTCTGAATCAAAACAACAGCAATAGGAATTGAGAACTATTTTCTTTTCGGGTAGGTAATAGGAATTAAGCTCTATAAGCATTGCTGCAAAATATCATCAGATCTTCTCTCCCTTTTTTTTTGGGTGACAAGGAAAACCCGCAGCCACTACCCGAAGGTGCGCATGGGTAAACCCGGCCTTGTGACCCTAGCTGGCAAAGGACCACAAGAAGGTAAACCATCATAGGTTGCCCATAGCTGACCAACTCAAACCAAGAAGGCCGATAGGCCGTTCCCATTGGGAATCACACTTGGAACCTTGTGGTTACCAAGCCAACGGCCCGACCAACTTGGAATATTCTCTTCTTTTTGCTTTTGTGACAACACGTCATCAAATCTAGAGCATTTTCTCAGGTAATTTTAGGCTTCCATTATATTTGCTTTGGACAAGTAATTAATTATGGCATCATAATGATAACAACCCAAATTAGACCAATTCAACCAGTCTAACTATGACCCATTTCCAAGTAGTCCCAGTCTCTGGCACATTTAACAATGTAGGGAATACCCCCCCCCCCCCCCCCCAGGCGCAAAAAATAAAAAAACATAATAGCCATGTGAGTTTAATAATGGACATATCAGTCCTCAAAAGCCCATCTGAACATTCATAGCCAAAAAAGCCTAATACAATTATCATGTGTATGTATACAAACATTAACTTGAAACTTCTAGCACCATAATCTCTTTAGGTACCATTTAGTAAAGACTAACTGAATTGAATATACAAAGGGTATTTTGAGGATGTTTTGAAATTCCTGGAAGGTGCTTAATTACATACACTGCTCAGAAAAGGATAACTAGCCTCTAAGACAGTCTATCATAAATCTTTACTCTCCTTCTATGGTCTCTATTGGGGTGTATTCCCAGGGAACCAAGAATGGTGCTCCGAGGAAATGCCTAATTTTTCTAATTCAATTGAACTTCACAATCATTCGTATTAAACTTCAAGTTTATTTCAATTGAACTTCATGTTCATTTTGGACTTCATAATCTTTTTCAAAACTTCTATATTTGTTTTAATTGAACTAGATGTCTGTTCTGAACGAATTTCATCCTCATTTCAATGGATGTCTTGCTCATTCTAGATGAACTGCATGTTCATTTCACAGTGAAATGAATATGAAATTCAATTGAAATGAACATACCCCAAGGGACTGTAACATATCATTTGGTCTGTACTGCATAGTTCCTGAAATCATCTTAACACAAATTGATGCACTGATAAGTACTTTGTGATTGGAGAATTGAGCTACACAACAAATCTTTAATTTTCTAAATTAGTGAGCTACAGAGAATCCGATTTGCACATTCTAGAGAAATGCTAATCAAATGTTAAACATTAACTTGAACTGCTAGCACCATAATCTCTTCAGGTACTTACATGACTGGGTGGAATATGCTTTCCACTGAGAAGGTCCAAGAGGACAGTCCCAAAGCTGAAAACAACACTTTCTGGTGTTACCCTCCCTGCAATAGACAAATGTACAAGGGAATATTGAGTTAATACCCAAAATGGTCATCGACTATAATGGTTTGTCTCAATTTCATCCTAAACGACTTTGGTGACTCAATGTAGACCCAGACTTTTGTGTTTTTGCTCAATGTAGTCATCCGTCTATTATTCAGTCCATTTGGTGTTAAATAGAGGGACAATTCAGAAATTTCAATATTGGCATCTCTTTACTAGACCTGTGAAGTGCGAAGTCCCTCTTTCTTTTACGAATTACTCCCAAACCTGCGAATATAAAATTTGATTGGCAAGTCTGGGAGTAATTTGTAAAAAGAAAGTTCGCACTTCACAGGTCTGAGAGTAAAGAGAGACCAATATTTATATTACTGAATTGTCCCTTTATTTAACACCAATTTAACGGAATAACAAACAGAGGACCAAATCGAGCAAAAACACAAAAGTCTGGACTACATTAGGTCACCAAAGTCGTTTAGGACAAAATTAAGAAAAACCACTATAGTCGAGGACCACTTTGGGTATTGACTCTGGGAATATAATTTCTCATATATTCAGTAAATAAAATGAAACTAGCAACAAAAGATGATAAATACACAATTCTTGCTAAAATAACACCTTATGTTAGAGAAGCAAAGAAAGAAAGAAATACTTACCAGTTCTTAAATACTCAGGCGGCGTGTATGCAAGATTTGTGCTATAACTTTTACCGTCCCTGCTATTCTTCATTAACCCAAAACAAGAAAGCCGTGGATCACCACCCTGCAAAGAGAGCATATGCCAAATCAACAAAATTTTCCAACTAGAATATCCTGAAAATAATGACTTAGGGGCAGAAATAAATTAGATATTTTCATCAATACAAATAGCACGTTTAAAAAGTTTATGAGTATATGTGCATGAAATACCTCATCAAAAAGAACCCTGTAAGCATTCAAGTCATGGTACAATGGTCGGCCTTCACAGCTACAATAATCCAATGCTTCAGCAATGTATAGAGCTACTCTGAGACGCATAGCCCACTCAAGGGTTTGGTTTTCCCCTTAAACAGGAAAGAAAGCAAAGTGACC